GACAATGGACGAAATTTCGTTGCAGCCGCTAAAGAATTAGGCGATTTTTTAAAACAAAATAATGAACCCATATCTGATTTTGTGAATCGTAACGGAATTCGGTTCTTCTTTAGCCCTGCGTACGCTCCTCACTTCGGTGGTATTTTTGAAGCCGGTATTAAGTCTGCGAAATACCACTTAAGACGTGTTATAGGCAACAGTAATCTAACTTTTGAGGAGTTGACAACGTTATTTACGCAAGTTGAGGCGATTTTAAACAGTCGTCCTTTATACCCTCTATCACCTTCACCAAACGAGTTCCTCTCCCTTTCCCCGGGGCACTTTCTTATCGGAAGAGCATTGACGTCATTGCCAACCCCTGCACTGGAGAATCACAGGGAGAGTACATTGCAAAGATATGCCCGAGTTGAGAAAATTCGCCAACACTTCTGGCAGCGTTGGCAGAAAGAATACATAGCTGAGTTGCAGCGACGAACGAAATGGAGAAGCAACACCGCTCAATTAAATGTCGGCGACTTAGTTCTACTGCAGGAAGACCACGTTCCACCGCTATGCTGGCGCCTGGGTCGAGTAACAAGATTATTCCCTGGAGCTGATGGTGTGTCCAGAGTAGCGGATATAAACACTACGAGAGGTTGTGTGCGACGACCCTTAGTCCGACTCTGCCCACTACCTACAGTAGAAGAATTACAGTGTTGAAAGATGGCTCTTTCAACGAGGCGGGAAGATGTTGCGGCCCTCTAAATATTGTCGGACCTTTTTACTACCATGCTATGTATATTTTCTTAATTCATTCTTTTTAGCTGCCATATAATATGTCATCTGCTGTCTAATTGTCATGTACGTTTTAATTACCTATAGTAAATTGATATTATAAAATTAATGGGTTTTAATTGAAGTATTAAAGCCACGTTATGTAAGCCAATACACCTGCAGGTTTTCGTTAGCAATGTATACTGAATATGAGTCACAAAATATTGCTTATTACATTCTATTGCGTAGTAAATTAAACATAATTTCGCATTAAAAATGCCACGTGTTTGTTCACGGGAATTGTAATGAATTCTCGACCGAAACGCGCAAAAACATCATCGTGATACAGTTTTCTTTAAATAATTTATTCAATAAGTAGTTTATTTAATTATAATACCTACCTACTTGAACAAAGTAATGTTACCTATATCTTATGACTACGTATTATAGGTAGAGGGTAGTGCTTGTAAATATGCTTAATAATAAATACTAGCAGTGCCCCGCGGTGTTACCCACGGTCTATTAGGAATATTTTCCCGCAGTAAAACGTAGCCCATGTGTTAATCCAGGGTGTCAGCTAACTCCATACCAAATTTCACCAAAATCGCTGCAGCCGTTTAGACGTCAAGCAGTAAAAAACATACACACTCACAAACTTTCGCCTTTATAATATTAGTATGAAAGTATTATATTCTATCGGTTACCCTAGTATCCCATAACACAAGCCTTACAGTACTTACTTTGGGGCTAGACTAATTGGTATGAGTGTTGGAAATTCAGTAGAACCTGTTTAATACGATTTCTCGCATAATACGCTGTTTTGCGTATTATCCTCAGACCCTACAACTTGAGACATGTTTTCATACATTTCTTAACGCTTAATACGAATCTTCACCCCGTTTAATACGTCTAAATCGCCAATACGTACCACACATATTACCTCTTGAAGCAGCATTAAATTCAATGAAATGTGAATAACAAACAAGAAGAGGCCCTAAGCGATAATGACCAAGAAAAAGAATTAATGATTTAAGACGCTATGTAACTTCTTTGAATCAAAGCGTAGACACACTGCAAAAGTTTAATTATGTTGAAAATCTTGTAATTGCTAATGCCTCAAAATCATTTTGACAAACGAAAATAAGTGATTAATTTAAATAACGTAATCTAATATATAAAATTCTCGTGTCGCGGTATTTGTGGTTAAACTCCTCCGAAACGGCTCGACCGATTTTCGTGAAATTTTATATGCATATTCAGTAGGTCTGAGAATCGGATGTAATCTATTTTTATCCCCCTAAATGTTAAGGGTACCGCCCCCCCCCATTTTTTTTTCATTTTAGATATTTATTTTTTAATTTTTTTATATGATACATCATACAAAAATACATACAACCCTAAATTTTCACCCTTCTACCATCAATCCCTATTTTTTTATGGCGGTACGAAGTTCGCCTGGGACAGCTAGTAATAAATAATAATACACTATATTTTTTCTGACATTACATTCGAAATTTCCTTATCCCGCAATCCCGCATAATACGCTTTCCCGCTTAAGACGCATTTTTGGTCGAGTCCCTGTGAAATCGTCTTAAACGGGTTTAACTGTATTTATTTATTATTAAAACCTTCATTGACCGCCAAACGAGCTCCGAATCATCCATTTCGGTTTATCTGCAGTTTAATTTCTGGGAACCGGTAAACGCACACAGTAAATACGCGCTTTTGTTTGATCTTCGTTTCCTTGAACTTGTGATTTTGTGTTTTACATTATTTTATTTATACAAACTGGATTTCCTTCATGCAAGTTTCATTCTCTTTGACATGTTTTTGATGGTTTGATGCAGATTATGAGAACAATAAAGCGAGCACTTACATAATACAGTTCTTTTAGTGGGCGCTGATGATGATGGTGAACACAGAAACAGGTTAGAAGATCATAGACCGTTTATACGGGAACCGATGTCGCCGGCTCGCCCCCACTTTACACTAAAAAAGATAATAACATGAGCGAGAGTAGCATTAACCGACGGGACGGCTGCTATTCATTCGGAGGTTTTTGCTGTTTTTAGAGTAAAGAATTTTCAGGTAAAAGTACAGCATTCCATAATCTTATCAAATGCAGCCAGAGCAGTATCAAAACGAGCGAACGATCTGCCTTTCACTGATTCGAGCTGGGAGCTCAAAAACTAGAAGATCAAACTAGTTCGTTTAGGAGCGGCGACCTAAACTGAGCGATCACAGTTGGGAACTATGCCCAAGACTATGTGTCGCCGCACACGGGCCACACGCCACAGCCACAAACGCCGCCACGAGAAGCTAGAAGCGGCTACTAAAGTGGCTGAAGCGCGCGACAGCGGCCGACTAAGGTAAGGGAGAGACGGGTGGGGAATCGCGAGTGACGTAGGCGGCGTTTCGTATCGGCGCATTAAGTGGCCGGTGCGGGCCACAAGAAGCGAGCAACGATTTGGAGCGTGTGGCGGCCACCGGCGTACCGTGTGTGGCGAGTCCATATAAAATTTATGAAAACTACAAGAAATATGCAGGTGGCGGCGTTTTGTGGTTGTGGTCGGTGGCCCGTGTGCGGCACTATATGTATGTAAAGTGGAGGTCACTTTACAGAAGACGACCATAAATAACTTAAGTAACGCGCAAGTGTTTGTAGGACGGTATCTCGACCGTCTATGGGCTATGACAGGCGCCTACTTTTAGGCGGGTCGCATTTTTTGTTAAATAATAATAATAACTTGGACTTGGCCACCGAGGTAACCGCTCTGTGGGATGTGGATACCCCTAGAACTATACTCACCGTAAGAAACACAACAGCAGAAAAAGGCAGTGTTATTTTACTGTGGACTTCTGTAAGGTGAAGATTTGAGGTTACAGGTTTAGCTCGCATGCTTGATGCTAAATCTTTCACATACAAAAACATTGCTCTAATATAAAACTAACAAGCATACAGCACTGTTTATACCGGGGTAAGAAACCCTCAAGTTAAAAATGCTTTGATAAGCAAACAATATTGCCAAGTCCAGGATTACTTGAATGGTCGAAGTGATTTTGAATGAAGAAGATTACGCTCATTGTAAGGAAAATCCAATAAATTTTATAGAAACATATATGCCGTGTATGGCCTAGAATAGCACCACCCCTCTCGTCTCATAGGTATCGTAAAAGCCGACAGATATAGCCAGAAGAACACGTCAGACAGCGTCCTCTTTTAAAATCTTACCTATACTGCGATGGCCAACTCGCACGCCAAGCGTGGCGATTATGCTAAGCCCTTCAAAATTATTGGCACAATTTTAGTATTAAACAAATCGGCACCACAGGGTAAGCATATTTTGCTCAACAGTGGCCATTGTACGATTGATATGATTATACATGCATAATAATTACGTATACGTAAGACACGAATGGGAAAGTAATTAAATTGGATTGTTAGCGAAACGGATTCATGTAAATATAACTTCTGTTATAGGCTAATAAGTTTCTTTTGCCTTTAAAAATAGTACGTGTTAAAAATAATATAAAGACTTTTAAATCATACTGTTTGTGATGGAAACTAAAAAAATCAGAGTAAGAAATTAAAGAAACTTCCTAATTTACTTCAAATATCATCAACTTCTTTTATCCTATCATCTCTATAGACTATTGCCTGTACAACAAGAAAAGTCCCACAGTGCTGCACCCTTTACGCTCTACCGACAAATAACTCAGAAATCACACTTGACGGAGTGGAAAACAGGTGAAGGATGCCGGCAAACGAAAAACGCGGTTCCGGCGGCAAATAAAAGTTTTGCCCGCACCCTTACCAGACTAAATAGAGACAAACTTCGCAGGATTATAGGATCAGGATAGGAGGACTGGTCATTGTCCCCTAAACAAACACCTATATACAATAGGAGTAACGGATAGCCCCCTATGCAGAGGATGCCTGGAGGCAGAGGAAACGCCACAGCATGTCATCATGGAATGCAGGGGTGTGGCCAACCAACGGGCACGACTTCTCCAGTCACCAGAATCGTTTCCAGAAGCTTGCAGAAGTCTACCAAGGTTGCTTTCCTTCTGGACCGACATAGGCTGGCTGGAGTAAACGGGAATGTTTTGAGACACGCACAATGGTCCAATAATTAGGACTAAGTGCGGAAACCGCCCTGAAGAACTAACTAACTAACGCTCTACCGACCCCACTAGGGGCTTATGGCATAAAATATTCCTGTCGGTAAGTTCATCACAGCGCACAATGCTAATATAAACGAGTGCGCGTACATCGCGCGTCGCATTTCTTCGCGGCTAACTGCAGTGTGCGTACTTGTGTTACGGAGATGGCCGCGAAATTCGTAAGTACACACATTATTTATATTGAAGTGAATTAAATTAACTTTATCGCGAATTTCTTAAATATAAATTGAGGGATGATGACTAATTTTTTTTTTCTTCGTTTATCAGGTAGATTATCAAAAAGTATTGGACACGTATTTTTTCTTTCTTCACATAATATAAACATTGCAGAGATATTTTGATTTGAAAAGTCGCATGACTTAACATTATAAGTGAAAATTCACTCAAAAGTGACGTCACGAGCTCCTACTCCCAAACTTTGACGCGATATAACTTTATCATTTTTTTGGTTGATTGCCCAAAGAAAAAATACGTGTCCATTATTTTTTGATCATCTAACTGACGGACTAAATAGATTTCGTTTACTGTACCCCGTCATCACCCCCATTAGAGCGCTGAAGAAGACAACAGTAAAATAACAATATTATTTGGTGGTGATGGTGTTAAAAGTTGTGTTGTTCCACGAGCTAGGGGATTAGGTTAGGATGCCTGTAGCGGCACATTTTTCAGTGCCATCTGCTTTATTCACTGTTGGTATCTAACTTACACCTCAACATTAGAATTAACCAATAACGTAATTTATATGAAGAAAACTCTTAGGTTCAATAAACGCTCTTCTATTACTAGGACAAACAATCCTGAATATGTGATTTCTGAATTAAGGTTAATCTCACATCTTCTCAGTGCCATTTCAGGGGCTAATTATTTTGTGTAAATTACATTTTTTTTAAGTGAAACTTTAATATCATCATAGCCACATTTTTTCCTTCATCTTTAGCATTTCGCGTTATATTTTAATTGTTATTAAAGAAATTCGGACCTTATTAACAAGCATCAGTGGTTCAGTGGTGGAAAACTGGCCTGATACGCGGGCAGCTCGGATTCGAGTCCCAGCTGAAATTTTAAAATTTTCATTAAACCACACCATTTTTTCATTTAATTTCGATAATATTTAAGAACATGTAGTACCTAACAATAGTAATAATTGCTTCATCTTCTTCCATTTCTTTACAGGAATATTTTTAAATACATATATTTTTTAGAAAATAACTTTTTTCAAATTAGTCTTAAAATGTTTTTTGGCTTCCTTAGTAAGGATATTAGGTTTCAGGTATATATTACCTGATTATCATCAATAAAGTTCGTTATATTCTTGTAAATCGATTAAATATGTTTTAGAAACACTTCTTGTGAATCGCATTTGAGAAATTTATTCACAATAGGGGTGATGACGGGGTACAGTAAACGAAATTCTATTTAGTCCGTCAGTTAGATGATCAAAAAATAATGGACACGTATTTTTTCTTTGGGCAATCAACCAAAAAATGACAAAGTTATAGCGCGTCAAAGTTTGGGAGTAGGGGCTCACTTTTGAGTGAATTTTCACTTATAAGTGTACTCAAACGTGACGTCATGCGACTTTTCAAATCAATATATCTCTGCAATGTTTATATTATGTGAAAAAAGAAAAAATACGTGTCCAATACTTTTTGATAATCTACCTGATAAAGGAAGAAAAAAAAATAGTCATCATCCCTATTCATAAACACGAGAGTCGGATAGAACATCGCATGCGTTTGAATTCTCTCTCATGGGCGAGCGTATCTTCATTTCCTTACGGAAAACTAACTTAGCGCATATTCTAAGCACGACCTAAATCAACCATAGAGCTGACTTGTCATTATATTACAAAGAAACATAATAAGTATTGAATATAAAAACAAACACTCTAGCCTTCGTTACCTGAGTGGGCTTTCAGACTTGTAATCTCCGAGGAAATCTAAATCGGACAAAAGATTAATCTTATATATAAAATTCTCGTGTCACCATTGTGATACCATACTCCTCCGAAACGGCCTGACCGATTTTTAAGAAATTTTATATGCATATTCCATGGGTCTGAGAATCGGCTACTATCTATTTTTCATATCCTTAAGTGATAATGGTTTTTTGCCTGTAACGTAATGTTCTGAAACCTAAAATGCGCCTTTGCGCCCAAAAAACTATTGGGTATTGTAACGTAGTGTTCTCATATGGGTTAGGAGGAATGTTATCCCAGGATTTTGATAGAATACTACGTTACACACCCCTTAAATTTTTATTGGTCAAAATTTTATTTTTTTATAATCAGGTATTAAAAAATACATACTACCCTAAATTTTCTCTCCTACCACCTTATTTTTATTTATTTTTATGGCGGTAGTAGCGAAGTTCGCTGGGTCAATAAATATTAATACGGGTGCCCGAATTCGAGTAATATTTTTCGTGCACCCAAATACGGGCTAACGACCAAATGTTATTACGGCTTCATAAATGTTTTCTAAACTCAACTACACATAATAAAAGTTTCCTAAACTCATTCATACATTTTTGTGTTACCAAACAGCTCTTGAAGGCATTCAGATATGGGGCATAGTGAAATTGTAATATACAATGCATTATGATTTAAATACTCCTTGCACCTTTTTTTTCTAAATGGCTTCACATGGCTTGTGCATTTAGCCAATGTCAAGTGTTAAAATGTTTACAAATACACTCATGGTCAAAGTAATAAATCAAGTCAAAGTAAGGGGCAGTCAAGTCAATCCCCCTTTAACTATGTTTCAGTAAAAGTGTGGGGATTTACTGGAACCTCCCCGTGGACTTCTTGAGGGAACGTCCAAAGACACTTTCCACTATTTTGTTTCACTTGCCAACACTTGTGCATGTTCCTGAACACTTAGTGGTTAATAATCCACCATTATTAGACACTAACATCCGCCACAACACAATTTTTAACAAGAAAAACAAAACTGCTAAAGCGACGCTTCCCGATCCCGCCAAAGAGTTCTCCTTGTACCTTGTAGTTTTATTACTTCTACATTTTATTTTAAAACGAAAGGGGTTCTAAATTTGTTGAAATTATTTTTAAAACAAAAAAGAAGTTAAAGCAAAGAAGGAGGAGTTTCTGTTTACCCATATATTTTTTATTTATTATTGGCGATGTTTTCATGAAGAAAAAATAATTAATTTGTTTCTTAAAAACAGTGATGTTCACACACTTAATATAAGAAACAAAAATAAACTAACTTTGCCTGCTACTAGGCTTTACAAAATCAATAATTCATTTAAAGGTCTTCGTACGTTCGTCTTAATTTCACTTGTGTACAGGGTTATTTTTATTTTCAAATTTACAGTAATAAATATATACATAATATGTATATATTATGTATACATAATATGTATATATTTATATTATACATAATATGTATATATTTATTACTGTAAATTTGCTAGCATTTTATATTGATACAGCAAAACGGACAGTCTTAAGCCTGGTAATGAACATTAATTTTACTTGTGTACAGGGTTATTTTTATTTTCAAATTTACAGTTACAAATATATACATAATATGTATACAAGTGAAATTAATGTACATACAATGAACTTTTAAGTACGCCTGTATTGCGTGACGCAATATTTTATTAAGTATTATGACTATTTAAATTTCATGGAATATATTATATTCACTCGTTTCCATTCAAAAACATCATATTATACATGTTTTAATAACTTTTGACCACTTTTAACCGTATAAAAACGTCTTTAAGTCTTCTTCAAGTAGATTCTCTCTTACACCGTTACTTATTATTAAAACGCTTTACATTAACCATTTAATTAAATGCGCATAAAAGAATCACAGTCAAGACGGGGAATGTAAAGCGTTCGTGCTGAAAATCGTCAACGTATCGCAACAAAAGAAATAGAGACTAGAATAGAGTCTGTGCGGAAAGAGAATGGGATTTAGATTGGTGGGCGCTGTGGTGCTTTTCTACCGTATTTGTAAGGTTTTACCCCTTTTAGACATGATTAAATACAAAAAACCGCAAGAAATCACAACAACAAACAAATCCGTATCAATACAAAACTTTGGCGTTTTACAGATTGCTGGGTTTGATTGCCAAATAAAAATCTTAATGTTAGTTCCGTTTTTCGCCACGCCCATTCTCTTTCCGCACAGACTCTAACCATAGCCAACCAAAAGCAATGTTTTGTTACGTTTTAGCTTATGAATGAATTTAGAGTGTTGTGGAAAATAGATAGTTTATTTCCGTTAGACAAAGAGTGATTGTTATTCAGCTAGATTAGCCCTTAGCTATTACTTAGTCTAATAATATATATCTATTATATTATTTTTTTAAAGTAATTACTAATATGCATATCAAAGAAGTATACAATCAGGTAAACGTGTTAGTGAAACAATATTAACACTTTACCAGAGTGTGAAATTCGAGATCAAAATATTCGCGATATTTTTGTCAAATCAAGACCAATCAAAGGAGTCCACGATATGATTATAGATCTGTGTACGGGCAACCGCGTATATTGCCGACGCAGCATTTCTTTATTGATCTAATTTACATTTTATTAATAATTTATTTTATATCGTTCAATTCGCATTCCGTCATCAAGCACACCACGCGTTCTCATTAGTTTAAAATCAGTTTAAATTTATCAAATATATTTTAGTTTCAAAGTTACTTACAGTTTTAATATTTTATCAGTTTTTATGTTACGGGCTCCCCGTACAATTGAAGATTTGTTTACCGAGAGGCATATGATGTCATAGCAACGTTTTGGACGAATTGTTTGTCAAAATTTGTAAAATGTCTATCTACTGTCCAATATTCAATCTAAAGTCGGTGCCAAATTAAGGTGCATGAATCTAAAATAAAATTAACATTTGGAGTAGCTGCCATGCATGTCTAATAGACCTGAGTTGCCATTTACTCGTTGACATTGCAATAATAATAATTCTTATTGAAGAATTATGTTAAACGACCGAATAACACATTGGAACAGGTATTCTAACACAAGCGCCAAGATTACCAATTTTGCCTCCAAAATTAAAAAAAAAATCAAAATTCAATATCGTTTATTCAGTCTAGGCTGTTACAAGCACTTGTGAATGTCGAAAAGCTACGCCATCGGTTCGCAAATCTACGGCGGGAGACCTTG